TTAGTTTCGATATTTTTCACCGAAATCACAGAGACAGAGGACAAGAGTAATTCTAAATAAATTAATCATAAAGTAATATTATTACATTAATTAATATTATATAAAGTATATCTAATTTTAATATCTATCAAATTAATTAAAACAATTGATTAATTTTATGTAAAATATTACTATGGGGGAAAAGTGAGAATCCTTTATTCACAAAGAAGAAAAAAAACGAACACCAGAAGTATCTTTGAGAGTACCTCATCATTTGTTTCTCATATAGAAAATGTAAGGAATCATCAAAGACATTAAAATTATCTAAAAGTTCATGTCCAGTCTCTTTCTAGCTTAATGTTAAAAGCACCGATAGCTTTTCAATTCATGAAATTAATTAAAAGTAACAACGCAACACAGTCCTTTAAGAGTTGGGGTGAAATTTGTCAGTTTGAATTATTAAATCTTTAAAAAATCATTAAAAAAATGAAAACTAAACCATTTTTTGTCAGTATGATATCAAAATGTCACTTATTTTACATAGAATCTAATAATGACAAGAAGCTCACAAAAAATATTTGGGAAGATTTTCAAAATTAAGAGACAGGTAATATCTCAACCTGTCTCTTGATCAATTATCAAAGTTAAAAAATTCTATAATAACAGACGATAATTACACAATTTCATATGGAGAAGCCTTTTGGCTATTCACCATGATCACACCAAACCAAAACCATTTTCAAATATAGATCAATCAGTATCTAGCCTCACAAAATCCTTTTTACTGGGGGCAATTTGATATTGTTATAGGAGGATCATACTATGCATTTTATGCTTCAAAACAGAGAAACTTGGGCTTATGGAGAAAGTAGATTGAAGAATCAATATTAATGAGCAAATTGAGAATATTGATTTTCAAATGCCACAATAGGTTTTGAAAACAAGTGACTTTTAGTTTTCCTTGGTTTCAAAAATCCAAATTGGATGCTTGTTTTCGTTTCCCTTTTTTTTTTTTTTTTTCCTCCATTCCCATTGGTAGATCCCCTTTTTAGGTGTGGGTTGCGATTACTCTACAGAGTGATAATCGAAATCATAGATGAAAAACTAATAGAGTTTGGTAGTTGGAGTTAAATTATCATTATTTTGAGTATTAGCAAACCATTTAGGCCTAGTTTTGTATTTATTTTTTAAACGAAGTGTTTCCTATTTTTTAATCACATATATCTAAATAACTCGATGCTTTTTTGGAGTATATAGAGTAAATTTTTTCCTCTTGTTATTTTTTAATTAAATTTAGTTGAGGTGAGGTAATCTATTAGTCTTTTTATTGGTGGTGAAATTTATTGCAATGTATTTATCACAATATCCGCCGTAAAATTTTTCATACAGCAGATATTAATTTTTGAACCATTTTGAATATATTAGCGAAGATATATAAATATTTTATATGAATTTAATTTATTTATTTTTCTTAAATTTAAGTATTAAGTAAAAAGTAATTTTTCTACCAAATCTACACATATTTTTTCTATTTGGAAGGAGATACTCCTCTTGTTTTATTTATTTATAAATCATTTTCAACATATTTTATACATATTAAGAAAAACTTTAAACTTTTACAAATTTATCCTTATATTTCATATAAACAAAATAAACACAATAATAATTAAAGGATAAAATTGTATATTCATATAAATTTTTTTTTCTCATGTCTTATAAATGGAACTAAAAAGTTTATTCTCTTTCTATCTTGTAAATAAGACAAGAAAAATATAGAATAAAGGGGAGAGGGAAGGAGAGGACATAAAAAAAAGGGGTAATTAATTATAATTTTTTTAAAAATTCAAAGGGCAAGTTTTCGGCCGAAAAACTGGTAAGATGGGTATTTAGTTGTAATTTGCTCCAGAAATGAAAAGGAAAAAGCTGAACTCATTTATTTTAAAAAATAAATGTGAGAGTGTTAATCACAGTGTAAATGAGTTTCTCAAAATGCAGCATTTTCGCACATAGTTCACGCAGAGCAGTATTTGGATAGTTATTTTTATTTTTTACGGTATTTTGATAAAAATGCCAGGTAACTTTGCTTCGTCCTTGTTTGTGTCCTCGATCTCAACGTCTTTTGTGTGTGTGTGTGTGTGGGAATGGTTCTGTCTCACGCGCGATGAAATATCAAGCATGAATTTCAACTATTACATCTTTTTATTATTTAATACTTTTTCGTGTCTTTATTGTAAGTTATAAATAACTAATTTATAAATAACGAATCATTAGTTAAAATTAATTAAAAATAATAAATATATTAGAAATATAATTATTTTTAAATATGTCTTTATAATAAATAAAAAATAAAAAAAATGCGTGAGGTGACATATAAGGGGAGAATATATCTTCAACTTGTTTATACGTAATTGGTCCGTTAATTTGGCCATGATTTTAATGGAAGAGACAGCAAGATTCTGTATATCTTTAACTTTTCGTTCCGTTTCGTTTGTTTGTGATTTCTGATCATGCGTGCCCATGATGAACTGTTTTTGTGGGGGCAATTAAATAATTGTATAAGTTATTGATGAAACTTTCAAAATGCCTTTAGTTACAATAAGGTCTCCAATTAATGAAATGATATGGGCACTTTTTGATAAGACAAAACAAGTTACATACATACATGTTGAGCGAACTGGAGGTATGTATCAGCTAGGTTCGAGTCGTGCCGGCAGACATTCCTTAAGAGTTATTCCGCCACCGTAGGTAAATGTGACTGCGGCACTCCCCAGGATTAAACGAACCCTTCCTGCAGAAAACAGGGTGACAGAACAGTAGAAAAATATAACCCAACACCACAGAAACACAGAGAGGGAAGAAGAGAAATGCAAAGGAGAAACAGATGCTCGAAAGCTCGAGAGCGGGGTGCAAAACACACTGTCCTGGACCGCTTTATATAGGCCTCGGGGACCTAACTGTTGGGTACCATCATAAACACGATTAACTCGTCGGTTTCATACATTACTGCATTAATCTGTAATTATACCGTCGGTTATGAACGTTGGGTATGTTTAAGAAATAAATTTTAGACGTTACCAGACATTAATCCATGAGAAACAGTTTAAGGATTAATGGATGATTAATCATGTTTGAAAACTCCCAACATTCAGTAACATTCGGCTGTTACAAAAATAAACGGTCAAAAAAAGGATTTTCTGATAAGCTCTCTTAACACCATTGCTAGTACTGTTCTAATTCGCGCGCAGGAGGGGAATCGCCATCGCCAATTTTCAACTACGTTTCCCTCCTGGTGGGCTGTTGTTGTGTGCATGAGACCTCCTTCTCCTCTAGCCCATTCACTAGCCTAATAATGTGTGATAGTATTTATACACTTGAGTTCCCTCTCTCTTGGGCAATGTGGGACTTCACTTTTGACACATCCCTTTACATACACAACAATACATATTCCTCTGATTCTTAATATACGATTCATTTAACTAATTTGATTAGAATAAAGAAGTTAGGTAAGTTAGTTAATTATAAGAAAAGTGACACATTTTTCCTAAAACACTATAATCATCTTTCTTAATACCCTTCTCCCTCTTCTACTTGATTACGGTTGAGGGAGTATCTATATGGGTAATTTAGAGAAAATTGATAAATATGAGAAATGGGTTTTAAATTTAGGATCAAAACCAATTCAAAAATTGGGTCCTATATTAAGGACCGGAGGAGTGTGTGTGTATATATATATTTTTAATTTCTATACCAGAATAACAACAAGAGTCACATATCAACCAACAAACAGAAGTATTATTTAGATACAAATATCATTCACTGTATATAACAGTTCAAATAAAAACCACAGTCTTCAACAGAGCAGTGGCTTCATATGCTCCAATATTAGTCATAGTACAGTAATTAACCTTGATGTAATCTCAACTAATCCCATGGTTTTGTTTCATCATCCTTGAATTGGTGCGTCGAGGGGAGTATTATATATCATGTTCCCCATAATCATAAACCTTAGAAGACAGGCGACGAGTTAACTCAACTAACAAATGCTTAGATCTTGGCAACGAGAGGCCAAATGATTCATTCATGTCCAAATCATCAGGCTTCATCCCAGAAGGAAGCTCCCAATTAAAGCAGTGTGCGAGTTGAGCTACCACCAGTTTAACTGTAGTTTGACCCAGTTGCATTCCAAAACATTTTCTGCGTCCTGAACCAAATGGCAGGAATTGAAAATCATGTCCTTGCAGATCTATATTATTGTTCAAAAATCTTTCTGGATAAAACACATCAGCATTATCCGACCATATCTGAGGATTCCGTCCTAGTCCCCATAAGTTTACTAAGATTCGTGACTTTTTCTCTATGTAGTATTCACCAACCATAACATCCTTTGCTGATGCTCGAGGGATGAATGGTGTAACAGGATGGAGTCTGAAATTCTCCTTCACCACCAGGTTCAAGTAATTCAACTCTGATAAATCCATCTCTTCCACCATTCTGTTCATTCCAACCACAATTTCTAGCTCATCTTGTAGATTCTTCATCACCCTTGGATTCCTGCAAAGTTCAGATAGAGTCCACTCGACACTAATAGCAGAAGTCTCGTATGCCCCAGAAATCAAAGATAGTATATTGGCCTTGATGTCGTCTCGAGTAATTTGATGAGTTTGTTCGTCATCCATGGGTTGATGCATTAGCGAGAGTAGTATGTCTATATAGTCTTCATTTTTCCCATCCTTGTGGCTGTTACGAGCTTCCTCATGCTCCTTTATGATCTTCTCAAACAACTGGTCAAGTGCTTTGCTTATTTCCTTACATCGATGTCTTAGTCCCTGACACAGTAAGTTTTGAATATTTTCATTATATATATAAACGATAGTACAACTTGGATCTTAATCTTCTTTTCCCAATAAAGAAATGCATTAGGAAGGAGCAGAGCCCCTTATCCTACTTGCTACTAGCAAGGTGCCAATGGCATATTGGGAAGACCAATAGAACCCCACTCAATTCCACAAAGGCTAGTAGTCCTCCAGATTTAGGTGTAATAAATTAAATTCAATCCAATCCCTTCTTTTCAAATAAAAATAAAAACTATGCTATGAAAAAGCTCTAAACAATGGAATAAAAATTAAGAAATGGCAGTAATTTCATATGTTAAACGGTTCATGTTATTCAGTTAAAGCATCATACCTGGAGATCAAATGCTCCCAACCAAGGCACAACATCTGCAAGATTAAAAGCTCCAGCTAATCTCAAAGCTTCAGAAATGAGCAATTTCAGATCAAATTGATCATCCTTATTGCGTCCCAATATCATCATATAAACTATATCTTCTAAAAGCCCATGCACTTTCTCACTGATATCCACAACCCCACCCATTGTTGCAGCATTCTCCAGTGACTTCACCATAATTCTTAACTCCTTCCCCCTAAGATGACCAAACAACTCGTGATTTGAAGCACTGAAAAGATGTTGGATGCTCAGTTTCTTCATGTCGCGCCAGTATGAACCATACTCGGAAAAGGCCACACCCTTGGAGCCGTAAAATAGGTAATCAGTGGCCTGAGTATGAATACGATTTGCAAAAACAGGGTCATAGGTCTTGAGGAATAGTTCGGCTGCTTCAGGTGAAGAGACCACAATGGTTGGGATCTGTCCAAGCCTTAAGTACATGATGGGTCCATATTTGTTGGCCAGAGATTGAAGGTTGCGATGTGGAAGTGTGCCCAACAAGTGCAGGTTGCCAATAATGGGGAGAGCCAGGGGACCTATATATAGATGTGTATAGAAAGTGAAAGAGAAATATTATTAACGCTGAGTAAAATTAGAAGAAATAATTCAAATGACAAGTACCTGGAGGATGTTTCCTAGCATTTTTGCTGTGATTACTATTTGAACGCAAGAAGATGGAAAAAAGAATGCAGATGAAGGTCAGAAGAAGGAATGCAGGGATGGCCACTGTTGGAGGAAACATGCTTGATGTATAATTTGCAATGAAGAAATGGACCCATTATATATCTATACGTATATATATAGTGATTTATATTGACTCAGATGTCATTGGATTCTACTTACGTTTTGGGGGCAATAATTGAATATGCTATGTTTGCCTTTCAACGTATGCATGATTTGCTCGTGATATGAGTTAAGTAACCTAACCCACCATGGAGAAAATGTAGGATGGGCTTATTTGGTGAGATGCTTTATATTTTTCAAGGCTAAAGGGGGCAACTTTTTTGTACGGCATACTCTAAATTAATAGCTACATACAAAGTATTTAAAATCCCCCATCATCAGTGGAAGACTCTTAAACACTGTCATTATTACTATAGGACTGCAAGATTGTACATATCTTTAACTCTTGTTTCATTTCCTTTGTTTGTGCTTTATTATCATCCGTGTCTATGCTCAACTGTTCATGTGGGTGGAAATAATTCTATAAATCATTGATTATAAACCTATATTTAGGACTGAAAATAGTAAAATGATTAATAAATATTTAGCCTATGGCTTTCAGCATGATTTAGACCTTTCACCTAACCCAACATCAATGTCACATTGGACTTACTTGAAATCTAATTTAGTAATGTGCCCAGCGAAGAATTAATAGGAATTAATGGTTATAATACATATCCGAAAATAAAACAACACAATAAATAAAAAGGTCATTTGCGTGAAAATATTTTTTCAAAAAAAAATTGGAGGAGCGAACTTGACTCTTTAATTTGTGCTCAAGTGGTTTTGTTTTGTATGTACTACTGGAGCCTTTTCAGTTAGTTATATTCATATCCTCCCAACATGCAAAAAAAAAAAAAAATCATATCCTCCCACCTAGTTCTGGATGAGTCGTACGTGTAGAAATCTGATGTGCTAGCTTTAGGTGAAATATGCGAAAACCTCAAGGTTGTGTTTGATAAGAAACATTAAAAATTAAGGATAGAAATTAGGATTAAAAAAATATATTAAAAGAGTATTTATTATAAGAGATTGATTGTTATATGGGATTAGCTAAACCATGAGGGAAATACTATGAGGAAAAGTGGTATTTTCTAATCCCACTCCTATTGGGTTGCCTAGTCCCATGTAATAAGCAATTACTTATACTAAATACTATTTTAATGATTTTTTTCAATTACAATCTCAATCTCAATCCCTTATTTTTAATGTTTCGTACCAAACGGGACCTAAGAATATTGTAATAATTTGCAGGTGAACTTGGCGTAAGAACTTGTAGGAATTAAATTGTGATTCGATTATTATAGTGAAAAAATCTTGAGCATTCTACAGAGGACTGGGCGTGATCAAGCCATCATAATTTTGTGGTGCTGCTTGATTCTCTTTATCTCCATCCCTTGATTTTATCTGATTACTTTGTGCAGGGAAGACTAAAACTGGAAAATACATTAGCACACAAAACACTCTCATATACAATATTCATTTTCTAATGTACTACTAACTCCAGTTTTTAATATAAGAGTTAGTTGACTAATTTGAATGAATTAAGAAAATTAGTTAAATTAGTTATGTATAATAAATATGTATTGTTTTTCTTAAAATACCCTTACTAATCAAATATATTAGCTAAAACTATCATTTGATGAAATATTTAATACGTGCGATTACGTACTATAATGACTACTTTTTTTAAAAAAAATTAGATAAGTATGAAAGACAGTGGATTGGGATCTTATATTTAGGATTAAATTAAAAATCAAACAAACTCTTATATTAAGAACCGGAAGTAGTATCTTATATAATCAAATAACATTAGGGACAACTGCAATAGAGTTCCATGAAAAGGAAATAACCACTAAAAAATATCAATAACAAGTGAGAACTTATTATTACCTATTCTGAAACTTGTCACTACAATCTACTCAGTTATCATTGAGACTTTGTAATAATTATGTTTCATCCTTAGGACTTTATTGCAATTCTCCCTTAAAATTACATGAATTTCATTCCTTATAAACATTAGAAGGTAGACGATGAGTTAGCATAGCTGACAAGTGCTTAGATCTTTGCAACGTACTGCCAAACGATTCGGTCATGTCCAAATCATTAGGTTTCATCCCACAAGGAAGCTCCCAATTAAAGCAGTGCACAAGTTGAGCTATGGCAAGTTTAACTGTAGTTAAACCCACCTGCATTCCAGGACATTTTCTACGACCAGCCCCAAATGAAAAAAGTAGACGATCATATATTCTTGAAGGTTTGGTGGGTTGCTATTCAAGAACCTTTCTGGGTAAAACACATCTGTATTATCTGACCATACCTGAGGATCTCGTCCTAATGCCCATAAATTTATGAAGATTTGTGACTTTTTCTTTATGTGGTATCCACCAACCGTAATATCCTTTGTGGCTGCTCGAGGAATGACCGGTGCAACAGGATGAAGTCTGAAATTCTCCAAGACCACCATGTTCAAATAATTCAACTTTGATAAATCTGTCTCGTTCACCATTCTATTCATTCCTACCACAGTTTCTAGCTCATCTTGTAGATTCTTCATCACCCTCGGGTTCCTCAAAAGTTCAGATAGAGTGCATTCGATAGTCACAGCAGAAGTTTCATATGACCCAGCAATCATAGATAGCGTTGCAGCCTTAATGTTATCTCGAGTAATTTCATGGTTTTGTTCATCATCCTGGGATTGATGCAGCAATGACAATACTACGTCAATGAAATCTTTATGTTTACCGCCTCTGTATGAGTTAGGAGCTTGTTCATGCTCTGTTATTATCTTTTCCAACAATTGATCAATCTTTCTGCTTATCTCCTTGAAGCGTTTTGCAAGACCCTGAAACGATAAGATTTAAATAGTTGCATTACATATCATGTTAAAGTTTGGTTCTTACATGTTTTTTAGTTCTTGTCAGCTAAAAAAAGTGATAGGATGAGAGGGGTAACTCAATCCTACTAGGCGTACTTTAATGGCTTGTTGGAAAGACTAAGAGAGGCTTACCCGAAGGATTACTTCAATGCCGTAAATTGCAAGCAAATTTCGGATATAAAAACGTTAATCAAACCATGTTATTCATTTAAAACATCATATATACCTGGAGATCAAATGCTCCTAACCAAGGCACAATATCTGCAAGATTAAATGCTCCAGTCAATCTCAAAGCCTCAGAAACGAGCCCCTTCAGATCAAATTCGCTATCCTTATTCCATCCCAATATGATCTTATAAACTATATCTTCTAAAAGCCCATGCACTTTCTCACTGATATCCACAACCCCACCCATCTTAGCAGCATTCTCCAGTGACTTCAACACCATTTTTAACTCCTCCCTCCTCACATGACCAATCAACTCTTGCGTTGAAGCACTAAAAAGATATTGGACGCCTATTTTCTTCATGTAACGCCAATATGAACCGTAATTAGAAAAGACTATATCTTTAGAGCCATAAAATATGTAATCACTGGCCTGAGTCTGCGGACGGTCTGCAAAAGCAGGGTCATGGGTCTTGAGAAACAGCTCAGCAGCTTCAGAGGACGAAACCACAAAGTCCCAGCCACACCAACATGATGGATCCATATTTATTGGCCAAAGATTGAAGGCTGCGATGTGGTAATTTGCCTAACAAGTGAAGGTTTCCAATGACAGGAAAAGCCAGAGGTCCTAATGATGCATCATGAAAATTTGTAAGTGATAAAAAGGAAAGATTAATCCTAATAAGAAGGTAAGAAGGAAAAAGCTATCATCTGTTCCTAGATTCAACTAATAAAACCTGAAAATATAATTAAGTCCATGGTAAGTAAATACCTGGAGGACGTTTCTGAGCAATTTTGTTTGGGCGCAAGAAGATAGTAAGAGCGTAAATCAAGGTTAAAAGGAAAATTGCAGGAATGGCTAATGTGGAAGGAATCATGTTGGATATATAGTTTGATATATAATGATCTGAAAGTGGAAAGTCGGAGGCTAGATGATGGGTATGATCATAATGCACCAGATGAGAAGGCATATATAGCAAATTATAGGGAGTATGAAAATAATTCCTTTAATTTTGTTTCTTTGTGAATGCTTGGATCCCCATTTGGATACGGCAACAGGACATGATGATCTCTAATATCTATTGTCGACCCAATCAACAAACTAGAAATGATTGTTTGACAAGGTAAAAGTGTATATAAGCTTTTCTATGATATTTTTGGGATAATTAATTAACTCACTCGCTTGTGCGTGCACACAAAATAATTACAATAAAGAAAATCAATGCTGCTTTATGTACTTATCATTACGTTAGTTACATGTAGTATAGGTTATCCCTAACATATCGCACAAATACCTTTAATCATCTTACAAAAATAAAGAAAAGACAGTTATATATAGATAGTTAATATTCTTAGAACATTTCATTCAATCTTTTCAAATGTGCTTTGATTAATAACACATTTGACTATCTTAATGTCTTGATTCATCATAAATTATTGCTATTCAAGATTTGGTTTTTCAAATTAAAATCTCAATTTCGATTAAAAGGGGGATTAATTATTTCTCAGCCGCAATTTCTCATGCATGGAAGAGCCAAGTAATTTTTTTTATTTGTCACAGAAATTTAAAAACGACATTACTATTAACATTATATTTCTCCTAGTATTATTTAAATTTGAAAGATAACTTATAAAATGAAACACAATTTCTCTTTAGAAGGTCTAAAGATGCCTTGTAATAAATAACAGAGAAGTCACGCGCCCAAAACGTTATTGAAATGAATGGCACTTTCTGTACCTACTCCACTTATCCTTAATATAAAAACTAATTAATTAATTTAAATAGATTAAAAAATTAATTGAATTAGTTATTTGTAACTAATATGTGTTGTCTTCCCTCAAATATCCTTGCTAATCATATGTATTAGTTAGCTAGAATTACTATTTGATAAGACTTTTAACATGTGCAATTACTATAAGGACAATCTTAAAAAAAAAAAAGATAAATATGAAAGACAAAGTAAATCAGGATATTATATTTAGAATCCAAATTAATTCTTATATTAAGGACTGGAGGTAACATGATTTACACATGCTATCTAGCTTGCTAACAATGCCTAAATATTATTGATTTTAAAATATAACTAAGGAGTGTAATTCATTAGTTTCTTTTTCAAAAAATATATACATAAGGAGCACGGTCAAACCGTGAAATGAAACATCATAATGGATTAATATTTGGATCGAGAAGAAGGATCTTCATATCTGTCCAGCCGTTGATCCTTTAGTGTCTCTTGCCCAATTCAGTGACTGATTCGGGATTTAAAATATTGCTTCCCAGAGTGTGCTACGTGATAATATGTGTGTGTGAAATACTGAAATGGATGGTTAGCATGACTAATAGGAGGCACTAGTTTCTATCTATTATTAGTGAGATTTTGGATTATGCACACAGGGATTTATAAACTCACAGACGTTGATCAAATCATTAAAAAGATCATGTGATTGTGATTCATTTAAACATCATGCACACACACACAGACACACACTTGTAGATCGAATGCTCCTAACCAAGGCACAATATCAGCAAGATTAAATGCTCCAGCCAATTTCAAATCCTCAGAAAAGAGCCCCTTCAGATGAAATTTGTCATCCTTATTCCGTCCCAATATAATCTTTTAAACTATATCTTCTAAAAGCCCATGACCAATCAACTCTTGATTTGAATTTTGGAGCACTAAAAAGATGTTGGACGTTTAGTTTCTTCACATGGCGCCAATATAACATATTAGAATGAATTCACTTGGTGCAAGCTCCTATGGAACTTTGAGCAGATCACTGAAAGGGAGCGACGCAGCCCAGTTTAGTTTCTCGTGTTATCGAAAAAAGAAAAAGGGCAGAATGAATTCGCTTGGCAAGAATCATTAACTGGGACTGCAAGATTCTGCGGATCTTTAACTTCTTGTTTTTTGCTTATGCTTTATGATCATATGTTTCTCTATATATTCAACTGTTTTTGTGGGGGAAAATATAATTCTATATAGATTCTCGATGATGAAACATTCAAAATATGCCTTAAAGTTTTTACAACTAGATCTCCATTAACGATGGGTGCATGTTGATTTTAATTTAGATGAGACATAACAAGTTACATATATATGCTTTTGTAACCTGGACAGTAACAAGAGTTTCATATCAACCAAGCCATAATGGTATATATTATTTACATATAAATATAATTGGTTACATAAACGTTCAAATAAAACCACACTCTCTTCAACAAAGCAGTATAGCCAATTCGTATATGCTCCATTAGTCACACACACACACACACACACACACACACACACACACAACCATATCACGTTATATAAAACGATTAAGAAATGAGTGGCTAAAATATTTAACCTCTGACTTTCAGCATGATTAAGACCTTCTACCTAACCCAGCATCAAAGTTGAAGCAATCTAATTTAATTAGCAGTTATGTGCCTAACCAAAACTTAATGTAATAAATAATTAATGGTTCTTACGTCTCCGCAAACAAAAACTACACAATATATAAAAAGGTCTTTGGCAAGAAATAAAAAATATTTTTTAATTGGAGGAGCAACTTGGCTCTTTGTGTAGGAGTTATCATATTGATGAGAGATTCATAAAATAATTTGATCTAAAATAATTAAATCAATTAAAAAACACGTAACTTGTTAAGTCCCCCTAGAGCAGCTGGCGCCACATGCTCATCAATGGTATGATCTGACTAATCCTTAATTAGTGGGAAGATATGTTTTATGGTAGTCAAATAATTCATCTGCGAAATAAATCACTTGAGGGGCGTATACGTACATGCCCTTATATATTACGTGATCTATTATCTTTAACATAAGAGCTAGATAGTTAACTTGAAATATTAATTAAATTGGTTAATTGTAACAAATCTGTATTGAGTTTTCTAAATTACTCTCTTTGATCATATGCACTAGGAATCTCTTGGTGGAAACTCTTTATAATCAATAAGAATATTTTAGGAAAAAAATGATAAATTTGAGAGTCAAAGTGGGTTAAGGTTTCATATTTATGACCAAATTCAATCTCCAACTAATTGTTATATCTAACACCAGAGGTAACATAATCTTAGAAGGAGACCAACGAATTAAAAGGGGGAAAATAGAAAATATAGAATTTAACTAGTATCCATGATATTTTAGGAAAAGGAATCGTGAATAATTGGGAAAAATTGTCTTTATTACAGAAATATAAACAAGGAGCAACTAGGTGACAATTGTTAAAGAGGAAACTAGTCGTTGAGACCCAAGGAAAAATAACGTTGGAAAAATAACGTTGGAGAATGACACATGCAAAATAAGAACAAAAGAAATCCAATATTCAAAGTCAATAAAGATGAAGAATTGAACCTAAGAAGATACAACGGACTAGCTACCATCCTTGTGAGTTTAATGGTGTTATTTTTCTGAAACATTATTGTAATCTAAGTATTTGGATGCTTAAGTGGTTTTGTAATATCTCTGTTCAGCGTTAAATAGTCATATCCATAACTTCTATATAACATTTATTTATTTACATCAATATATACACCATATTCATTGTCCCAAGGCCCTAAAATTACATGAATTTCATTCATTGTAAACCTTATTAAAAGGTAGACGCTGAGATAGCATAGCTGACAAGTGCTTAGTTCTTTGCAAGGTGAGGCCAAATGATTCGGTCATGTCCAAATCACTATGTTTCATCCCAGAAGGAAGCTCCCAATTAAAGCAGTGCACAAGTTGAGCTGTGACAAGTTTAACTGTGGTTAACCCCATCTGCATTCCCGGACATTTTCTACGACCCGATCCGAATGAAAAAAGTAGATGATCATATTCTTGAAGGTTTGATGGGCTGCTATTCAAGAACCTTTCTGGATAGAACACATCAGTATTATCTGACCATATCTTAGGATCTCGTCCTAATGCCCATAAATTTATGAAGATTTGTGACTTTTTCTTTATATGGTATCCACCAACCGTAATATCCTGTGTGGATGATCGAGGGATGAATGGTGCAATGGGATGAAGTCTGAAATTCTCCAAGACCACCATGTTCAAATAATTCAACTTCGATAAATCCGTCTCGTTCACCATTCTATTCATTCCGATCACAGTTTCTAGCTCATCTTGTAGATTCTTCATCACCCTTGGATTCCTCAAAAGTTCAGAGAGAATCCAATCAATAGTCATAGCGGAAGTTTCATATGCCCCAATAACCATCGATAGTAATGTAGCCTTAATGTCATCTCGAGTAATTTCATGGTTTTGTTCATCATCATCCTTGTATTGATGCATCAATGACAATAATATATCAACGAAATCTTTATGATCCCCATCTTTGTATGAGTTAGAAGCTTGTTCATGCTCTTTTATTATCTTTTCAAACAATTGATCAAGCTCTCCTCTTATCTTCTTGAAGCGTTTTGTAAGCCCCTGAAAAAATAATAAGATTTAAGTAGTTGTGGTATATATCAATTATGTTAAAATTTGGTTCTTACATTTTTTTTTTTCTCATATAATAAAGTAATAGGAAGGGGAGGCATCCCAAATCGTACTAAAGATGCTCTGATGGCATGTTAGAAAAAATGATATAGGCTTACCCAAAGGAATTTCTTTTCTCAAATTTTGAGTTAGAGGAGTATGTGGTAATAACTTGAGGATACAAGCGGAATCGAATCCATAACCTCACATAATGACTTGAGTACCATGACGCTAGGCTAGAAGGTCATTAGTCCAAAGGATTATTTTAAAGGCATAAATTGCATGCAATTTCTATCATATTACATCTACTCAACTCTACCCTTTGCTAGGGATCTTTTTAAGAGTCTATATATATATACTATGAGTATAACTTTGGATTATGACGCGGGGATTTTAATTCACACACGAGGCAGAGATTTAAGAACCAAATTTCAGGTATAAACGTTAATCAGAATCATGATATTCATTTAAAACATCATACCTGGAGATCAAATGCTCCTAACCAAGGCACCATATCTGCAAGATTAAATGCTCCGGACAATCTCAAACCCTCAGAAATGAGCCCCTTCAAATCAAATTGGCTATCCCTATTCCGTCCCAGTATAATCTTATAAACCATATCTTCTAAAAGCCCATGCACTTTCTCACTGATATCCACTACCCCACCCATTTTAGCAGCATTCTCCAGTGACTCCACCACCATTTTTAACTCCTCCCTCCTCACATGACCAATCAACTCCTGAGTTGAAGCACTCAAAAGATGTTGGACGCTTATTTTCTTCATGTAACGCCAATATGAACCATAATTAGAAAAGACTAAACCTTTGGAGCCGTAAAATAGGTAATCAATGGCCTGAGTCTGGGGACGGTCTGCGAAAGCAGGATCATGAGTCTTGAGGAACAGTTCAGCAGCTTCAGAGGAGAAGACCACAATGGTTGGGACTTGTCCCAGCCACACCAACATGATGGGTCCATATTTATTGGCCAAAGATTGGAGATTGCGATGTGGGAGTGTGCCTAACAAGTGAAGGCTTCCGATAATAGGAAGGGCCAGAGGTCCTAGTGATGCATGATGAAAATTTGAAAGTGATAAAAGGAAACATATTACTCATAATAATTAAGAAGCTAAGAAGAAAGGGCCTATCATCTTCCTAGATTCGAATACATAAACCTGATAATAACGAACATTAAGTTCATAGCCGCAAGAAATAAATAGATAAGTAAATACCTGGAGGACGTTTCTGAGCAATTTTGTTTGGGCGCAAGAAGATAGTAAGAATGTAAATCAACGTTAAAAGGAAGATTGCCGGAATGGCTACAGTGGAAGGAATCATGTTGGATATAGTTTGATAGCTAAGGATCTGAAAGTGAAAAGTCGGAGGTCAATGATGGGTATGATCATAATGCATTAGATAAAAATGCGTATATATAGCAACTTACTAGAGGGAGTACGAAAAGAATTCTTTTTGTTTTCCCCCACTTAGACACGACAATATATGATCCAAAATGTCAAATGTAATATAACGTGGACCCAATAAATCCCATTTTGCCAAGTGTTTATTTGACTAGGTAATTTTTGGGTAAATGGGACAAGAAAGCTTCTTGGCTTACATGTGTAAGATTTTCTTTGATACTTCTGGGATTTAAATATAACATAGTGACATAAATACATACACTCACACAAAATAATTACAAAATGAATTCTGCTTTATGTACTCATATTCCATTACTTATATTATCCCTAAAACATTGCACATATATATTGAATCATGTCACAAAATTAAAAAAGACGGTTATAGTTAGAAGATAGCATTTCAATATTTTTCAAATATACTTAGGTTAAGGAAAAATCCATCTATTTGTTCTTATCATTTTGACTAAGAGGGTATTTGGTTTCCCCTGAAAGTACTTTTTAAAAGCACTTGTATGCAAATTAGGATAAAACTCCTTTTACATACTTACTTTATATGCTGTAAAATTACTTTTAAAACAACTCTTAGACTTAACTCATTTCTTGAACTTTTGATTCCATACGACATAATCTTTGTCTTTTTTTACTAATTCCTAAATGTTAATCCAAATGTTACTCAATCCTTATAGTTTAATCATTTAAAATATTATTCCCTGTATCTTAAAAAAGAAAATTATATATTTTATAAAACTTAGGAAATAAAATTTTAAATGGTAAAAACTACTATATAATTTTATATAATGAACTACTGAACTCAATCACTTACTGCTATTATTCTTCAGTTTTCTATTGAGGTCTATCCTGTAAAGGTACTTAAATTAAATCGGTGATCGGTTTCTATTGAGTTGTAATGAATTAGAGTTCAATAACTAAGTTTTAATTGAGTCAAAACTATAAGAATTGAGTTGTACCAACTTAAAGTTTGATGACTAATTTAGAATTGCATCAAAATTATAAGGACTAAAAAATAAATTTTTCTTTATTAAATAATACATTTGACTATCTTAATGTCTTAACTCATCATAAATTATTGCTATTTCATGATTTGGTTTAAAATCTCAATTCTAATTAAAAAAAAGCTGTACTTGGTAGTCAAGTAATATTTTTTATTTAAATTTGCAAAATAACCTAGAAAATGAAACGCGATTTTTTTTTTTAGATTTAAAAGATCCATAGACACCTGATAATAAATCATAGAGGAAGCCACGCGCGCGCAATGATTATGAAAGAACATTAGTTTTAAATATAACTAGTAATGCCTAATTAAATTACACAAGAGTCTAGCCAAAATATTATTTATACTATTTTCGGCTCTGAATATAAGAATTATTTTAAAGCCAAAGTAGTATTCCTAATAATTGCACTTGTTAAAAAATTTCTATTTTAATATACATGATTAATAAGAGTATTTTAAAAAAATAATATTCATCTATTAAAAAAATCAACTTAACTAATTTTTTTAATATTCGTAGTTAAGTATCTATCCCAGTAATTTTTAATCGTGGCTAACCAGTATGATTATTAGTTTCTTTATAAAAAAAATACATATAAGGAGCAGGATCAAACCGTGTAATGAAACAACATTATAGTGGATTAGCATTTGGATTGAGAAAGTGTAGGTAGTACAGTGGGTCAACATAATATGTTATCATCTATCCTAAATATAAAATCTAGTTTTTTTCCCCCAAAAGCAGAGTCAATGAATCAATTATCAATTAATTAATTAGCTGTCCCGCAATATAAGATTTTTTCTTTCTTTTGTTTTATCCCAGCCCAATAATGCAAGATTAATTAAAGAATAAGACTACTGGGATTTGCTGACCCAAAATAGATGATATTAACAGTTTGACACTCAAAGATCAATCGCACGCATAATAATTAAGAAATGAATGCCATATTTATCTCATAAGTTAAGCATGATTTAGACATGTATGCCATATGTAAGATTAAGAACGATTAATGATGCTTTACTATTATTATTATTATTATTATTATTATTATTATTATTATTATTATTATTATTATTTTGTTAGCAAACGTTACGCAATGGAATTTGAATAGAGTATTAATTTTAAAGAATTAATTTTTATTCATTCCGTAGTGTCCAGGACAACTTCAAATAAATCTTGTTTCGAGCCGAAACAAAATTTGAAGTAGTCAAGACTCAAGAACGTTATGAAATGAATTAAAATAAATCCTTAACTTGAAATAATTACTTTATTCAAAATTTTATGTCATAATGTTCCTAACCAAAAAATATAATATAGTTTCTATTAAAAGTTAAAATAAAGTTATAAATATCATTCAATATCAATATCAAATATGATATTTATAACAAGGGCATGAATATGGTGGCTTATTCCAAAATTTTGCATTATCATTTAAGAAAGAATGTGTTTAACTTAATTATAAAACAACAGGGAGGTGGGGGTGGGGGGGAACAATTTGGTTTTGTGTGCTAATGAGGGATTATTTGTCCAAGAGTTGAAAATGGAATTAAACAAAAAGTTCATAAATGAGATGGAGTGAAATGAAACGAAACGTTAGAGTAAAAATCCATTTGATGTAATTATGATGTATTTCCCCTGTTCATAGAACTTAGTTTGAAACAAAGTTGGGGGGTTGAATTATTTTGCACAAACACTTTCACGCAAACTAAAACCTTTTTTACATATTTATTTTATTTATTATAAACATATTCATTTTATGCATAATAAAATTACTTTTAAAATTCTGATCAGGTCACTTTTCGCGCGTTGTCAACTTCATATGTCATTTTTAGTGGCCAATTTCAGCTATATCACAAGTACGCAGAATAGTGCTTCATAAATTTCGGAACCACTCATCGTCTAAAAGTATTTGTTTTTTTAATTTCAATCAATAAAAACCCCTGTTTCATATAATAATGTATTTTTGCACAAAGAAAAATATAATAAGGTTATAGTATAACCTTCAGGAACAGAGGAACAGTACAAGCCATTAGAAATTAAATCAAAGCAATATGAAAATAATCTTGACTACTAATTCCTCGACCGATATATATGTTGAAGGCTAATCGTACATTTGTGCGCAATATGAAAGCCCACATTCAAACCATTTGGCTCTACTATACTTTCTCAAATGGGCCAATAGTCAAATTGAAAAAGAATATCACCAGCTCATCAGTGGCGAACCAAGATTTAAAGGCACCCATATTTAATGCTTGACAGTTTTTTAAATAGGATTGCTTACTTATGCGTAACCAGAAAAAATCACACACGAATATATAATTGGGGAAAACAGAGTAACGGTATATCATTGAAAGTTGATCAATAAATTAAAGGCCGCCTTAAAACAAATTAATGGCGGTCTGATGGAACAAAGTCTCAAGCTCTGCTTAACAGACACGTTATTTCACAATAATTTTTTTTTTAAAAAACACCTAGTGTGCTAGATTCACCTCTTTTGCACTTATATTCTTTCATAGTTTACAACATTTCATTCATCATAAACCTCAGAAGATAGGCGACGAGTTAACTCAACTAACAAATGCTTAGATCTTGGCAACGAGAAGCCAAATGATTCGGTCATGTCCAAATCATCAGGCTTCATCCCAGGAGGAAGCTCCCAATTGAAGCAGTGTACGAGTTGAGCTACCACCAGTTTAACTGCAGTTTGACCCATTTGCATTCCAAGACATTTTCTGCGTCCCGAACCAAATGGTAGGAATTGAAAATCATGTCCTTGCAGATCTATGTTATTGTTCAAAAATCTTTCTGGATAAAACACATCAGCATTATCCGACCATATCTGAGGATTCCGTCCTAGTGACCATAAGTTTACTAAGATTCGTGACTTCTTCTCTATGTAGTATTCACCAACCATAACATCCTTTGCTGATGCTCGAGGGATGAATGGTGCAACAGGATGGAGTCTGAAATTCTCCTTCACCGCCAGGTTCAAGTAATTCAACTCTGATAAATCCATCTCTTCCACCATTCTGTTCACTCCAACCACAGTTTCCAGCTCATCTTGTACATTCTTCATCACCCTTGGATTCCTCAAAAGTTCAGATAGAATCCACTCGACACTAATAGCAGCAGTTTCATATGCCCCGGCAATCAAAGATAGCATATTGGCCTTGATGTCGTCTCGAGTAATTTGATGAGTTTGTCCGTCATCCATGGGTCGATGCATTAGCGAGAGTAGTATGTCCATAAAGTCTTCATTTTTCCCATCCTTGCGGCTTTTACGAGCTTGCTCGTGCTCCTTTATTATCTTCTCAAACAATTGGTCAAGTGCTTTGCTTATTTCCTTACATCGACGTCTTATTCCCTGACACAATAACCAGATTTGAGTATTTTCATTATACTCCCTCCTTCCCTTATTATAAGTCCACTTAACTATATTATATGATTTAAAAAAACCATTAAAATTAGTTAAAAGTAATAAATATGTTAGCAATGTACTTTTTTCTTTTTCAAATATACTCTTATTTATAAGTGGATAAGTGTAAGTGAGAAAAAAATAGGAGAGATTGTATGGAAAAAAGATAATGAGAGAGAGTATCTTCATTAGGGGTAAAGTGGACAAAAATACATTTATTGTTTAGACAAATCCAAAAATAAAAAATTCTTATAAAAAGAGACAAATCAATTCAAAAAATTAGATCTTATAATAAAAGATTAAAGGAGTATATATAAAGAATAATAGAATTTGGATCTTAATTTTCTTTTCCCAATTAAGAGATACATGAGGAAGGAGAAGCGGTTCGGAACCTCTTCTCTTCCCTTCTCATCATTTTCCTTTCTCTTCTTTTTTTAATTATTGGATTAATATTTTAACAGTTGAGATTTAAATCTTTTTAAAACTATTATTAAAATATTAAATTATAAAAATAAATAAATAATAAATTACAAATTCTATTAAAATTTAATTCTAATGGTTTGTAAATGCATTAAATATTTTTAAAAACTTTTTATAAATAGTTTATAAAAATTTAAATCTCAACTGTTAAAATATGTTAATCTAATTATTAGAAAAAGAAGAGGAAGAAAGAGAATGGGAAGAAAATGGGAGAGGTTCCATCCTACTGGTTAGAAAGGTGCCAATAGCATATTGACACTCAAGTCTAGAAATGGTAGTGGTCCTCCAAGTTTAATTAGATGTAATAACTTCATTCAGTCAAATCCCTTCTTTTCAAATAAAGATAAAAAACTGGCAGTGAAAAAGCTATAAACAATCAAAGAAGATTCAGAAATGGCATCCTTAATTTGATGTATGAGATCATCAACTAGTTCATGTTACCTGGAGATCGAATGCTCCTAACCAAGGTACGAGATCTGCAAGATTAAATGCTCCAGTCAATCTCAAACCTTCTGAAACGAGCCCCTTCAGATCAAACTGGTCATCGTTATTGCGTCCCAATATAATCTTATAAACTACATCTTCTAAAAGCCCATGCACTTTCTCACTGATATCCACAACCCCACCCTTGTTAGCAGCATTCTCAAGTAATTTCACCAACATTCTTAACTCCTTCCTCCTAATGTGACCAAACAACTCTTGATTTGAAGCATTAAAAAGATGTTGGATGCTTAGTTTCTTCATGTCGCGCCAGTATGGACCATAATCAGAAAAGACCACACCCTTGGAGCCGTAAAATAAGTAATCAGTGGCCTGAGTATGAGGACGATTTGCAAAAACAGGGTCATGGGTCTTGAGGAATAGTTCGGCTGCTTCAGGTGAAGAGACCACAATGGTTGGGATCTGTCCAAGCCGTAGGTACATGATGGGTCCATATTTGTTGGCCAGAGATTGAAGGCTGCGATGTGGTAGTGTGCCTAACTGGTGGGTGTTGCCGATGACAGGAAGGGCCAAAGGTCCTGGTAATGTATTATTATGAAAGTTCCAAAGGGAAATATTAATTCTGAGAAAGTAAGGGGAAAAGTTATCATCTCCCAAGATTTTAAGTACAAAAACTGATAATAAGCATTAAGTATAGTCGCAACAAGAAATAAAAGATAAATACCTGGAGGACGTTTCTTGTGTTTATTTGGACTCAAGAAGATAGTAAGAATGTAAATGAACATGAGAAGGAAGAGAGCAGGAATGGCTATTGTCGAAGGAATCATGTTTGTGTGTGGCGACTTCTTAGTGATTAGCACTGAGAAGAAATGAAGAATGCCTTTGGCTCTCTGGATGGTTTCATATATAATAATTACTTGGAGCATCATCAGTTAAAAAGGGGAATGATTATTATTCTTGCTTCTACAACTTGTCTGTTGTATACTTTCTTTCCCCTTTTTGTCATATAGTAAGTCGGAACATGTCAAAGAATAATGAAGTTGATATTTTGTAGATGAAATTTAATACTAATGGTATTTTTGGGATTTAAATGCACACAGTACGTAATGATATAATTGCCATAGGAATGCTGCCACCCACCATATATGATTGTACGAAGTTTGGCCAAAATATCTATCATGTCTCGTCTGTTCTTCGCACATGCATGTGACACAGATGAGATCATTAATAACCAAAATTGACTAACAGATAAAGCCCAAGAGTTCAGATAAAGCCCAATCGATGGTCCAAGCAGTGGCTTCGAATGAAGCAAAAATGAGCTCTAATGCTGTACCTTCGATGTTGTGACGAGTGATCACAAGGTTTTGTTCATCATCATTCAAGGGTTGGTGCATCAGCGGGAGTAATATGTGTACCAAGTCATCATTCTGCTTACCTTTTCGTTCATTAAAAGCTTGCTCATACTCCTTCAATATTTTCTCCAACACTCCATCAAGTGCTTCACTGGTTTCCTTCAACTGTCGTGTTATTCCGTGACATTCATAGATTTGATATGACAAACTAGAGATAATGAACTAAGAAACGTATGTTTTTGGGGGCAACAAGCGTAATAACGTGTGCGTTAATTTGTAATTCCAGTCACATAATAAAACTTTGTATGTTTTTACTATACCTGAAGATCAAAAGCCCCTAATGTTGGCACATAATCTGCAAGATTATAAGCACCATCCAATCTCATAACTAAAACTTTTCCCAAAAAAAAAAGTTATTAAAGTTGTAAAAATACCATTTTTGAATTTTTCAGAAAACCTGTTATTAAATGTTATACCAAACTTATTAATAGAGTTATAGAGTTTGTTAACAGCTTTATTAAAATTGTAAAAATATCATTTTTTGAATTTTCTGAAAAATCTATTGTTAACTGTTGTACTAAATTTGTTGATAGTATTACAAAACTTGTTAATCGTTTTACTAAAGTTGTAAAAATTTTCAAAAAAATTGTTGCCGATGACCAGAACTCCGATAACGGTGGCCACCTGAGCTCTGGCAGCCATCGTTGGCACTAGAGCACCGGCAACCGGGCTGCTAGTAAAGGCATTTGATTTTTTTAAAATAATGAAAAAAATAAAGGGCAATATGATCATTTCAGTAAATTTATAAATCCCAAATTGTTAACTTGTACCTAAATTGGAATTTTGCAAATTCAAGTGACTTTTTTGAGATTTTCAAATTTAAGTGTTATTTTTGTGTCTTTTTCCATAATAAAAACCCCCTCTTTCATATAATAATGCATTTTTTTTACAAAGAAAAACATAATAAGGTTATAGTATAACCTTCAGGAACAGAGGAACAGTAACAATTTGAAGCCTACATGCCATTAGAAATCAAAACAATATGAAAATATTATTGAATATTAATTCCTCGATCGATATATATATATATATATATATATATATGAAAGGCTAATCGTATATATGTGCACAATGTGAAACCCGACATTCAAACCAGTTTGTCTCTACTATACTTTCTCAAATGGGTCAGTAGTCAAATTGAAAAAGAATATCACCAGCCCATTAGTGGCGAACCAAGGTACCAGGGTCTTTGTATTTAATGTCTGAGAGTATTTTGAATAAGATTATTTATCCATGCATAACCAAAAAAAAATCACACATATTTGTATATAATTGGAGAAAACAGAGTAACGTTATGCCATTGAAAGTTGATCAATAAATTAAAGGCCGCCTTAAAACAAAAACGATACGACTTCTTTTTCGATATATCTATATATATATATATATATATATATTACAGAAAGTGAGAACCGTAATATGTTCAGTAGGTTTTGATTAATATTAATGGCGGTCTGATGGAACAAAGTCTCAAGCTCTGCTTAACGGACACATTATTTCACAATAATTTGAAAAAAGCACCTAGTGTGCTAAATTCACCTCTTTTGCACTTCATATTCTTTCATAGTTTACACCATTTTCATTCATCATAAACCTCAGAAGATAGGCGACGAGTTAACTCAACTAACAAATGCTTAGATCTTGGCGACGTGAGGCCAAATGATTCGGTCATGTCCAAATCATCAGGCTTCATCCCAGAAGGAAGCTCCCAATTGAAGCAGTGTGCGAGTTGAGCTATCACCAGTTGAACTGCAGTTTGACCCAGTTGCATTCCAAGACATTTTCTGCGTCCCGAACCAAATGGTAGGAATTGAAAATCATGTCCTTGCAGATCTATGTTATTGTTCAAAAATCTTTCTGGATAAAACACATCAGCATTATCCGACCATATCTGAGGATTCCGCCCTAGTGCCCATAAGTTTACTAAGATTCGTGACTTTTTCTCTATGTAGTATTCACCAACCATAACATCCTTTGTTGATGCTCGAGGGATGAATGGTGTAACAGGATGGAGTCTGAAATTCTCCTTCACCACCAAGTTCAAGTAATTCAACTCTGATAAATCCATCTCTTCCACCATTCTGTTCATTCCAACCACAGTTTCCAGCTCATCTTGTACATTCTTCATCACCCTTGGATTCCTCAAAAGTTCAGATAGAATCCACTCGACACTAATAGCAGCAGTGTCATATGCCGCAGAAATCAAAGATAGCATATTGGCCTTGATGTCGTCTCGAGTAATTTGATGAGTTTGTTCGTCATCCATGGGTTGATGCATTAGCGAGAGTAGTATGTCTATGAAGTCTTCATTTTTCCCATCCGTCTGGGTTTTACGAGCTTGCTCGTGCTCCTTTATTATCTTCTCAAACAATTGGTCAAGTACTTTGCTTATTTCCTTACATCGACGCCTTAGTCCCTGACACAGTAATCAGATTTGAGTATTGTCATTACACTCCCTTCCCTCATTTATTATAATCGCTTGACTATATTATGTGATTTTAAAAAAAATTAAAATTAGTTAAAAGTAATAAATATGTTGTAAATGTACTTTTTTTTATAAAAAAATACCCTTATTTATAAGTGGGTAAGTGTGAGTGAGAAGAAAAAAAGGAGAGATTGTATGGAAAAAAGATAATGAGAGAGAGCATCTTCATTACGGGTAAAATGGATAAAAATACATTTATTGTTTAAACAAATCCAAAAAAAAAATCTAAATAAAAAAAGACAAACAAATTAAAAAAAATTAGATCTTATAATAAAAGATGAAGAGAGTATATGTAAAGGACAATAGAATTTGGATCTTGATTTTTTTTTGCCGATTAACAGATACATTATAGGAAGGAGGAGCACCCTTATCCCCCTTGCTAGAAACGTGCCAATAGCAGATTGGGAAGACCAATAGAACCCCGTTCAATTCTAAAAATGCTTGTAGTGCTCCAAATTAGTTAGATGTAACAACTTAATTCGGTCAAATCCCTTCGTTTCAAATAAAAATAAAAACTGGCAATGAAAAAGCTATAAACAATCAAAGAAGAATCAGACATGGCATCCTTAATTTGATGTATGAAATCATCAAATAGTTCATGTTACCTGGAGATCGAATGCTCCTAACCAAGGTACGAGATCTGCAAGATTAAATGCTCCAGTCAATCTCAAAACTTCTGAAACGAGCCCCTTCAGATCAAACTGGTCATCGTTATTGCGTCCCAGTATAATCTTATAAACTATATCTTCTAAAAGCCCATGCACTTTCTCACTGATATCCACAACCACGCCCTTGGTAGCAGCATTCTCAAGTGATTTCACCAACATTCTTAACTCCTTCCTCCAAAGATGACCAAACAACTCTTGATTTGAAGCATTAAAAAGATGTTGGATGCTCAGTTTCTTCATGTCACGCCAGTATGGACCATATTCAGAAAAGCCCACACCCTTGGAGCCGTAAAATAAGTAATCAGTGGCCTGAGTATGAGGACGATTTGCAAAAACAGGGTCATGGGTCTTGAGGAATAGTTTGGCTGCTTCAGGTGAAGAGACCACAATGGTTGGGATCTGTCCAAGCCGTAGGTACATGATGGGTCCATATTTGGTGGCCAGAGATTGAAGGTTGCGATGTGGTAGTGTGCCTAACTGGTGGGTGTTTCCGATGACAGGAAGGGCCAAAGGTCCTGGTAATGTATTATTATGAAAGTTCCAAAAGGAAATATTAATTCTGAGAAAGTAAGGTGAAAAGTTATCATCTCCCAAGATTTTAAGTACAAAAACTGATAATGAGCATTAAGTATAGTCGCAACGAGAAATAAAAGATAAATACCTGGAGGACGTTTCTTGTGTTTATTTGGACTCAAGAAGATTGTAAGAATGTAAATGAACATGAGAAGGAAGAGAGCAGGAATGGCTATTGTGGAAGGAATCATGTTTGTGTGGGGCGACTTCTTAGTTAGCACTGAGAAGAAATGAAGAATGCCTTTGGCTCTCTGGATAGTTTCGTAGATAATGATTTAGACATGACATGAATGCCTTTGGTCCGGAACTCTTATGAAAAAGGTGATATTTCAGTTCATGTGGCTAGAAAGCTGCTTGGCTTATGGATGTTAGAGGCGGGGACCCGACGGGCTTAATTGGAAAAGTCAGTCCTATGGGACCGAAAATTTAAAAATATCTCAATTTGTTAAACCTAACTCTTAACGTGACGGGTTCAAGGTCGGCTCGCGGGCTTTCGGTCCATTTAAGAAAAAATACAATTTTTCATATTTCTCATTTTTATCAAAAAATAAAAACAAACCAATGAAATTATAATAAAGATATAAACATGAATAAAATTAAATCATAAATATAAAATATCATCATAATTAAATATCCATCAAAATCGAAAAATATCTAAAACATCAATCAACAAAATAACAATATCCAAAAGTTTCATCAATAGTTTAAATGTGCAATAGATAAACACTATCATTAATTTATTGAAATTTCATCATCATTATAATCAATTGCTCTTTTTTCTGAGCAAAAATATCAAGATTTTCTTCTTTATAGGAATTTCACTTTTAAATTTTATAATTCAAATTATAGAATCACAAGTTATATTAGTATAAAAATACTCTCTTATCAAATATATATAATTTAAAAATATCAACACATATAATATAAATCAAATCATTATTAAAGCCCAAATTAACCCAATTGTTAAAATTTAATTGGACAAATTATTGTCTAAAATCAAATAAATCAAACCATTATTGAAATTTAATTTTAAAATGATAATAATAACTAAATATTTGAAATATTATTAGAAATATAAAAATAATAATATTAGAATTACACAAAAAATTTATAAAAAAACCAAAAGAAATATAAAAAGGCCTAAACGAACTTACTCTCGACCTTGCAGGGTCAACTCGTTTAAGTCCTTAGCCCTATAAAATCAGCCTTTTTAAGTTTTTTACCTATTTGAAGGGAAAAATTTTAAACCCAGTTCTCATATTTTTTGGATTTACTCATTTTCGCAGCTCTAATAGATGTGTTAAGTTAAATGGATTCATAGATCCGCGCCCAAATTTGCTATGGGCTTTGATTACCTGGAGTATCATCACTTAAGAAGGTAAAAGATTATTATTCCTGCTGCTGCTACTCGTCTATGCTATACTTCTTTTGCCCTTTTGTCACATAGTAAGTACATTGTCAAAGAATGATGAAGTTGATATTATGTAGATGAAATTTACTGCTAATGATATTTTTGGGATTTAAATGCACATAGTACGTAATGATAATATTGCCATATGAATGCCGCCACCACCATGATTGTACGAAGTTTGGCCAAAATATCTATCATGTCGTGTTTGGTCATGGCACATGCATGTGACTCCGATCAAACCATTAATAACTGAAATTGACTAAAGAGGTGCTTGGAATATCGCAAATCAAAACAAACTTTTCTATATATTTTTTTATATACTGTAAAATAACTTTAAAAGTTATGATTTGGTTTCTACTCAAATACCCCATAAAATTTACTTTTCACATAAGTTGCTTCTTAAAAGAATTTTTTTTATCTACATTATAAGTTACTTGCAAAATAATTAATGCTTATTTATCAATTTTATTTTTATAATTAATGTTTAAATATGATTCTTCATTTTTTTTTCTCTTCTTCAACTTAAAAGTTAAAACCCCATCTAATAATGTAAATTAAGTTGGAAAAAATTTAAATTGAAAATATATTTAATAAGTTGACTATTCTCTTTTAGTTCTCATAAATTAATTAGAAATGACTTATGTTGCGAATCGGATGGAATATCAATTAATATTTACATCAATGGCCAAGCAACAATGAAATGTTTAGCAATTGTGGTCGTAGGTTACAAGGGTAGTAAGATTTTAAGTTGCCAATATATATTAATTAAACAACATCAACACATTGAGAATTCCTAACATGGGTATAATTATCAAAGTGAGCACCATAATGTGCAAACCCAAACCACATTTCACGTAAAGACACGTACACGTATACTAAGTACTAAACCAACATTAAAATCATTCATCATAAACTTTTGAGGGTATACGATGAGCTGGCACAGCCAACAAATGGCTTGGCTCTCGCCATGGAGAAGCCAAATGTTTCAGTCATGTCCATGTCACAAGCTTCATCCCACAAGGTAGCTCCCAATCACAAGGCTTCATCCCACAAGGTAGCTCCCAATTAAAAACAGTGAACTAGCTGGGCTATCACCATTTTAACTATAGTCAGACCCAATTGGATCCCAGGACATTTTCTGCGACCCGACCCGAATGGTATAAGTTGAAAATGATTTCCTTGAAGGTCAACATTGCTGTTCAAAAACCTCTCTGGATAAAACATGTGTGCATCATCAGTCCATGTCTTAACATCTCGTCCTATTGCCCAATTATTCATTATGATTCGTGTGGTCTTCTGTACGTAGTAACCATCAACCATAATATCTCGTGTTGATTTTCGAGGGAGGGATGAATATTCCTACAGGAAAGAGTCTTAAAGTCTCCTTCACCACCATATCCAAAGAGTTCAACTTTGATATGTCAGCTTCTTCCACCATTCTATCCATTCCTACTACAGTTTCAAGCTCGACTTGCAACTTCTTCATCACCTTCGGATCTCTCAAGAGTTCAGATAAAGCCCAATCGATGGTCGAAGCAGTGGTTTCGAATGAAGCAAAAATGATCTCTAATGCAGTACCTTTGATGTTGTGACGAGTGATCACAAAGTTTTGTTCATCATCATTCAAGGGTTGGTGCGTCGGTGAGAGTAATATGTCTACCAAGTCATCATTCTGCTTACCTCTTCGTTCATTAAAAGCTTGCTCATACTCCTTCAATATTTTCTCCAACACTCCATCAATTGCTTCACTGGTTTCCTTCAACTGTCGTGTTATTCCCTGACATTTATAGATTTGATATGGCAAACTAGAGATAATGAACTAAGAAACGTATGTTTTTGGGGCCAACAAGCATAATAACATGTGCGTTAATTTGTAATTCCAGTCACATATAAAATAAAACTTGTGTGTGTTTTTGTTATACCTGAAGATCAAAAGCTCCTAATGTAAGCACAAAATCTGCAAGATTATAAACACCACCCAATCTCATAACTAAAAATTTTCAAAAAAGTAGTTATTAAAATTGTAAAAATGCCACTTTTTGATTTTTTAAAATGAAATTGTCTGTTGCTAAATACTGTACCGAAATTGTTAATGGCATGATTACCTAAAAATGCTACTTTTTGATTTTGTGGAAAACTGATTGTTAACTGCTATATCAAACTTGTTAATAGTACTATAAAACTTGCTAACATTTTATTAAATTGTAAAAATTTTCAAAAAAATTATATCGGCAGCTGGAACTCCAGTGACGGCAAGTTACCTGAGCTCTGGCAACCCCGCCGCGAAACGGAGCTCCGCCAACCACGGTAGCTAGTGAGGGTATTTGGTTTTTTAAAAAACAATAAAAAAAAAAAGAGTAATATGGTCATTTCAGTAAATTTACATATTCCAAATTGATCACTTGTGTCTAAATTGGGATTTTACAAATTCAAATGACATTTTGGGATTCCAAGCTTAAGTATCATTTGTGGTCTTTTCCCAATAAAAACCCTCTTTCATATAATAATGCATTTTTTTACAAAGAAAAATATAATAAGGTTATAGCTATAACCTTCAGGAACAGAGGAACAGTAACAATTTGAAACCTACAAGCCATTAGAAATCAAAGCAATATGAAAATATTCTTGAATATTATTTCCTCGATCGATATATATGAAAGGCTAATCGTATGTATGTGCACAATATGAAAGCCCACATTCAAACCAGTTTGTCTCTACCATACTTTCTCAAATGGGTCAGTAGTCAAATTGAAAAGGAATACCAACAGCTCAAAAGTGGCAAAACAAGGTAGAAAGTTTATTTATATATAACCAAAAAAAATTCACAACACACACACATATAACAACACACACACACACACACACATATATAATTGGGGAGAACAGAGTAACGGTATACCATTGAAAGTTGATCAATAAATTAAAGGCCGCCTTAAAACAAAAACGATACGACTTCTTTTCTATATATATGTGTGCGTGTGTATATTACAGAAAGTGAGAACCGTAATATGTTCAGTGGGTTTTGATGAAATTAATGGCGGTCTGATGGAACAAAGTCTCAAGCTCTGCTTAACAGACACGTTATTTCACAATAATTTAAAAAAAAAAAAAAAAAACACCTGGTGTGCTAAATTCACCTCTTTTGCACTTCATATTCTTTCAAGTTTACAGCATTTTCATTCATCATAAACCCCAGAAGATAGGCGACGAGTTAACTCAACTAACAAATGCTTAGATCTTGGCAACGAGAAGCCAAATGATTCGGTCATGTCCAAGTCATCAGGCTTCATCCCAGGAGGAAGCTCCCAATTGAAGCATTGTACGAGTTGAGCTACCACCAGTTTAACTGTAGTTTGACCCAGTTGCATTCCAAGACATTTTCTGCGTCCCGAACCAAATGGTAGGAATTGAAAATCATGTCCTTGCAGATCTATGTTATTGTTCAAAAATCTTTCTGGATAAAACACATCAGCATTATCCGACCATATCTGAGGATTCCGTCCTAGTGCCCATAAGTTTACTAAGATTCGTGACTTTTTCTCTATGTAGTATTCACCAACCATAACATCCTTTGCTGATGCTCGAGGGATGAATGGTGTAACAGGATGGAGTCTGAAATTCTCCTTCATCACCAAGTTCAAGTAATTCAACTCTGATAAATCCATCTCTTCCACCATTCTGTTCACTCCAACCACAGTTTCCAGCTCATCTTGTAGATTCTTCATCACCCTTGGATTCCTCAAAAGTTCAGCTAAAGTCCACTCGACACTAATAGCAGAAGTCTCGTATGCCGCAGAAATCAAAGATAGCGTGTTGGCCTTGATGTCGTCTCGAGTAATTTGATGAGTTTGTTCGTCATCCATGGGTTGATGCATTAGCGAGAGTAGTATGTCTATAAAGTCTTCATTTTTCCCATCCTTCTGGGTTTTACGAGCTTGCTCGTGCTCCTTTATGAACTTCTCAAACAATTGGTCAAGTGCTTTGCTTATTTCCTTACATTGACGTCTTAGTCCCTGACACCGTAATCAGATTTGAGTATTTTCATTATACTCCCTCCCTCAGTTATTATAAGATCCACTTAACCATATTATGTGATTTTAAAAACTATTAAAATTAGTTAAAACTAATAAATATGTTAGAAATATATTTTTTTCTAAATATATCCTTATTTATAAGTGGGTGGGCGTGAGTAAAAGGAAAAAATAAGAGAGATTGTATGGAAAAAAGATAATGAGAGAGAGTATATTAATTAATCATAAAGTGGGTAAAAATGTATTTATTATTAAGACAAGTCTGAAAAGGATCTTATAAAGAGGAACAAAATATTTCAAAAAATTAAATCTTACAATAAAGACAAAAGGAGTATATATAAAGGACAATAGAATTTGGATCTTGATTTTCTCTTGCCGATTAACAGATACTCCTTCGGTTCTAAATATAAAACCCTTTTTGTAATGTAATTACACTACAAAAAGAGTTTTATATTTAGGACCGGATGAGTACATTATAGGAAGGAGGAGCACCCCTTATCCTCCTAGCTAGAAAGGTGCCAATAGCAGATTGGGAAGACCAATCGAACCCCACTCAATTCTAGAAATGCTAGTAGAGTTCCAAATTAGATGTAATAACTTAATTCAGTCAAATCCCTTCCTTTCAAATAAAAATAAAAACTTGCAATGAAAAAGCTATAAACAATCAAAGAAGATTCAGAAATGGCATCCTTAATTTGATGTATGAAATCATCAAATAGTTCGTGTTACCTGGAGATCGAATGCTTCTAAGCAAGGTACGATATCTGCAAGATTAAATGCTCCAGCTAATGTCAAAACTTCTGAAACGAGCCCCTTCAGATCAAACTGGTCATCGTTATTGCGTCCCAGTATAATCTTATAAACTACATCTTCTAAAAGCCCATGCACTTTCTCACTGATATCCACAACCCCACCCTTGGTAGCAGCATTCTCAAGTAATTTCACCAACATTCTTAACTCCTTCCTCCTAATATGACCAAACAACTCTTGATTTGAAGCATTAAAAAGGTGTTGGATGCTCAGTTTCTTCATGTCGCGCCAGTGTGGACCATAATCAGAAAAGACCACACCCTTGGAGCCGTAAAATAAGTATTCAGTGGCCTGAGTATGAGGACGATTTGCAAAAACAGGGTCATGGGTCTTGAGGAATAGTTCGGCTGCTTCAGGTGAAGAGACCACAATGGTTGGGATCTGTCCAAGCCGTAGGAACATGATGGGTCCATATTTGTTGGCCAGAGATTGAAGGCTGCGATGTGGTAGTGTGCCTAACTGGTGGGTGTTTCCGATGACAGGAAGGGCCAAAGGTCCTGGTAATGTATTATTATGAAAGTTCCAAAGGGAAATATTAATTCTGAGAAAGTAAGGTGAAAAGTTATCATCTCCCTAGATTTCAATTACAAAAACTGATAATGAACATTAAGTATAGTCATAACAAGACAAAGAGACGAATACCTGGAGGACGTTTCTTGTGTTTATTTGGACTCAAGAAGATAGTAAGAATGTAAATGAACATGAGAAGGAAGAGAGCAAAAATGGCTATTGTCGAAGGAATCATGTTTGTGTGTGGCGACTTCTCCGTGATTATTACTGAGAAGAAATGAAGAATGACTTTGGCTCTCTGGACGGTTTCATATATAATTACTTGGAGCATCATCAGTTAAAAAGGGAAAAGATCATTATTCTTGCTTCTGCTGCTTGCTTTTCTATACTTTCTTTCCCCTTTTTGTCATGTAGTAAGTCGGAACATGTCAAAGGATGATGAAGTTGATATTATCAGATGAAATTTCTACTAACGGTATTTTTGGGATTTAAATGCACACAGTACGTAATGATGTAATTGCCATATGAATGCTGCCACCCGTCATGATTGCACGAAGTTTGGCCAAAATATCTATCATGTCATGTCAGTTGTTCGCACATGCATGTGACACCGATCAGATCATTAATAACCAAAATTGGCTAACAGAGCGTTGGAGACTATCAAAAAATGCTTTTAAAATAGATTTTTCATAAATTAAAATAAATTTGATTTCTATCCAAACATCTCTTACAATTTACTTTCCACATAAGTCACTTTTTAAAAGATTTTTTTAATACAGTATAAGTTACTTGCAAAATAATTAATACTTATTTACAAATTTTATTTTTATAATTAATGTTTAAATGTGATTCTTATGTTTTTTCTCTTCCTCAAATTAAAAACCCCATCTAATAATGTAAATTAAGTTTGAAAAATTTTCAATTGAAAATATATTTAATAACTTGACTATTTGTTCTCCTGAATTAATTAGAAGTAACTTATGCTGCGAATCAGATGGAATATCAATTAATATTTACATCAATGGTCAAGCAACAATGAAATGTTTAGCAATTATGGTTGTAGGTTACAAACGTAGTAATATTTGAAGTTACCATTATACATTAATTAAACAACGTCAACACATTGAGAATTCCTAACATCAAAGTGAGCACCATATGTGCAAACCCAAACTACATTTCATGTAAAGACACGTACACGTAAACGAAGTACTTAACCAACATTAAAATTATTCATCATAAACTTTTGAGGCTATACGATGAGTTGGCACAGCCAACAATGGCTTGGCTCTCGCCATGGAGAAGCCAAATGTTTCAGTCATGTCCATGTCACAAGGCTTCATCCCACAAGGTAGCTCCCAATTAAAACAGTGAACGAGCTGGGCTATGGCCATTTTAACTATGGTCAGACCCAATTGGATCCCAGGACATTTTCTGCGACCCGACCCAAATGGTATAAGTTGAAAATGATTTCCTTGAAGGTCAACATTGCTTCTCAAAAACCTCTCTGGATAAAACATGTGTGCATCATCAGTCCATGTCTTAACATCTCGTCCTATTGCCCAATTATTCACCATGATTCGTGTGTTCTTCCGTATGTAGTAACCATCAACCATAATATCCCGTGTTGATTTTCGAGGGATGAATATTCCCGCGGGAAAGAGTCTTAAGGTCTCCTTCACCACCATATCCAAATAGTTCAACTTTGATATGTCAGCTTCTTCCACCATTCTATCCATTCCTACCACAGTTTCAAGCTCGTCTTGCAACTTCTTCATCACCCTCGGATCTCTCAAGAGTTCAGATAAAGCCCAATTGATGGTCGAAGCAGTGGTTTCGAATGAAGCAAAAATGATCTCTAATGCAGTACCTTTGATGTTGTGACGAGTGATCACAAGGTTTTGTTCATCATCATTCAAGGCTTGGTGCATCAGTGAGAGTAATATGTCTACGAAGTCATCATTCTGCTTACCTCTTCGTTCATTAAAAGCTTGCTCATGCTCCTTCAATATTTTCTCCAACACTTCATCAAGTGCTTCACTGGTTTCCTTCAACTGTCGTGTTATTCCCTGACATTCATAGATTTGAGATGACAAACTAGAGATAATGAACTAAGAAACGTATGTTTTTGGGGCCAACAACCATAATAACGTGTGTTAATTTGTAATTCCAGTCACATATAAAATAAAACTTGTGTGTTTTTTTTAATACCTGAAGATCAAAAGCTCCTAATGTAGGCACAAAATCTGCAAGATTAAAAGCTCCACCCAATCTCATAGCCTTGGAAACGAGGCCTTTCAAATCAAACTGGTCATCCCTATTTCGTCCCAATATCATCTTATAAACTATATCTTCAAGAAGCGTATTCACTTTCTCAGTAACATTCACAACTTCACCCACTGTAGCAGCATTCCCCATTGACTTGACCACCATTCTTACCTCCTCCCTCCTAAGAGGACCAAACAACTCTTGCTTTGAAGCACTTAAAAGGTGTAAAGTGCACAGTTTCTTCATGTTGCGCCAGTATGAGCCATACTCAGAAAAAGCCATGCCCTGGCTGCCATAGAAAATGTAATCAGTGGCTTGATTTTGAGGTCGGCTAGCGAAAGCAGGGTCGTGGGTCTTAAGGAATAGTTCAGCAGCTTCAGGAGAGGAAACCACAATGGCTTGGACCTGCCCCAGCCACAAGGACATGACGGGTCCGTATTTGTTGGCCAGAGATTGAAGGTTGCGATGTGGAAGTGTGCCCAACAAGTGCATGTTGCCAATAATGGGGAGAGCCAGAGGACCTATTGATGTATAGAAAGTGAAAGAGAAATATGAATACTGACTAAAATTAAAATTAATAATTCCAATGAGAAATACCTGGAGGACGTTTCCGAGCATCTTTACTGTGATTATTCCAACGCAAGAAGATAGAAAGAACGTAAATGAATGTCACAAGGAGGAATGCGGGAATGGCTACTGTTGAAAGAAACATGCTTAATTGATCTGTGATTTGCAATGGAGAAATGGAGGATCTGACGGGGTGATCAACACATACAGTATATAGAAAGTATATAATAGTGATTTATAGTGACTCAGCATTGGATCCTCTTTATTTTTGAGGAGCAATAATTGAATGCCCCATTTGCCTTTCCCACTACAGAGAAGATAGGATGGACCCACCTGAGATCTCATTCGGTGAAGTGCATTATATTTTTTTAAGGCTGAAGTGAGGTGCTTTCTCTCAAAAAGTTAATGGAGAAGGGAGAAAGCGTGTAACGCCGAAGGGGTAACGTCCCATCATTTTGAGACAAATGCTGAAATGATTTATCCATTTTATTTGTAAGATTTGTTTATTCTTCTGATGGAATCATCTGATCTTATCCCTACTTGATGTGATCTTGTTGGCACTCTAATTCCGAGAAGAGATCAACCCATCCCCCCAGGGGGTGCGGTGATCCAGAAATACTCTAAAAATTTAAACGGATAGGGATACTTAATAGGCCAGAATTCATAAAAACTTTTGTCAACCAAGAAATCAATCATGGAACTAATCAAAACTTGATAACAAGTTTATATGTCTAAAACTCTCACGAATCAGATGACAATATGTAGTTTTCTTAATTGTTCTTAAAATCCAAGCTCAGGTACAATGTAGGTATATTCCGCATCAGAAAATGCCAGAGAGAAGATTTGCGGCTGTGGAGATGGCAGCTCCAGTAATAGCACACTGCACAATCTGTTCATGAGAAGAATCATCCAATGTAAGTGCGAGTGCTGCCCCAGTGATGGCTCCCGCCACTGCACTGTTTTTCTGCATCAAACACATTTCATGATTATTCTGAATCATTTTGGTGAATTCCAGAAACAAAACAATCTGCAGCCAAGCTAAGGAAAATCTTCATGCCTGAAACAATGTGACATACTTAATTCTTGTCATTTGTTCATTTTAAATGTGGTCCATATAAAAAGGGCCCTTAGCTTTATTTATATGAGAGCTTGAAATTTTAGCGCAGTGGTAAAGCTCTTGATCCAAGCAAAGGCCCAGTAAATTAGCGACAAGAACATCGACTTTCCTTTTTTTTTTTTTTGGGAATAAAAAAAGCTGTGTTTTAAAGTCCAGTTGTGTTACCCAATCATGAGCTCCACGAGCCTCCTTCAGACCATATGTGAGACCTGAATACATTCCTGCAGCCAAACCTGCATGTTGGGAGGAGAATTTGTTAAGATTCAGAATAGCCCAGTCATCCGAGAGATAAACATCATAAGCATGGGAAACTCACAAATATAGATTTATCCGTTTCAAAAATATTATTTTACTCACAAATGAACACATGTATTCCTTTGTAATTTCAATGTTTATAGAAGAATGAAGTTTATTGTAGGTTAAGAAAGTCTATCATTACCCCATTGTAAGGACTCTTTTCCAGTATTTTTCACCTGATAAGAAGAATAAAGGAAACACTAAGTAGCAGGAATTCCATGATTAAAAAATTGACAGAAGAGTTAACTGTTTATAGTTAAGCTCAATTATATTTGAAAGTTCAATTTTAGAACATTAAGACAAAAATAAAAGGCCTTGAAATGGTCATGTGGCAAAACTTCAAAGTTTACGTGAAATCTCACCATGGCCTCAAGAGATTTACTGCTGGTCTCTCCTGCATTTACGAAACAAAGGTTCACTCAACATTGTTTTCAAACTTGTCAAAAGGAATATAAAATGACATCATATCACAAAAACAATATCTCCTCTCCTGTCTAAGATACCTCTGAGACCTGGAAGACGATTTTTATTGGCACCAGGTAGGACTTCTGGTGGTAGACCGTCATTGTTATCAAGCCCAGCACCTAAAAATCCATACAGACATGTAAATACTAAATTGTATCATCAAGTTTCCACTTACACATGCCTGTGCCCCCTGATAGAGTTTTGCATTAATCAGACCAAAAAATTTATAAATTCACCAAAATAGCTTAAGATGGACTCAATGCTTTCTTACATAGTTGTGATTAGATCACACAATGTAGATTTTCTCATACATCTAGTATTTTCTTTACCATTTTTCTTTCTTTAATCTCAATTCTCTCTGCTATTATGGATCATATAATAAAAGAAAAGTTTAATGAGGAATCATTAGCGAACCTTCAATGGTCATAAAGAAAGCTTCGCGGGACAGCGCTTGGACGGCTCCTATCTGGTAAACACACATCCACTACTATAAGCAAGAGTTTTACAGATGCTCGCTCGCGCACACGCGCACACAGAGCAAGAGTAAACTACACTAGCATTTTTCTTTTTTTGGGGCTTGAAGAGTTATAGCATTTGAGAACCATATTACATTGATTTATATCCTTAAAAGGCAATCATTATTATTTTATATAGTCCTCATGACATCAAGATCGGAATTCTTAGTTCAGAGAAATTGATTTCTAGTGGTCTCATGTTAGGGACCCTTCTGCATCTATACACCATTATCTTTCCCTTCCGGATAATACATTGAAGACTGAATCAACGAAATATGTTGCGCGACCTTAACGATAATTTACTCAAAGGGAAAGAAGTGGAGGTTACCCCTGCGGCTTTGACGAAGCTCTCAGCAATGCGATTGAGAAGAGGGTGGCCAAGGTCAAAGAAACCGCCTTTGTCAAAGCTTCGAAGCTCATCCAGCAAAGACCGTGTTTCCAAGTTACTGCTCATCTTGCTAAGCCTTCTTGATGTTCACAAGCGAAATTCTCTGACACCAGACAAAATGCTCTTGCCAGTACTCTTTGATCAGAGAAACAAGAAAGGGGAAAGAGTGTAAAAGGCTGGGGAAGATGAAGAAAAGAACGGACGACCAGGGCTCGCATTGAGGACGCGTGTGTTTGGGTAATAACACGTGGCTGTTCCAAAATGACGCTGATGCGAAATTCCCGATTACTCAGTTGCAACGGACTCGCCACATGTGCAACGGTCTCAGGGAAGTTGTCAAAATCTGCTGATCTGGATCCTTCTTTTGTTTTTTGCGCGTTTAAAGCAATACACAGCTGGCCTTTAATCTAACGTTTAATCAACTAATTAGAATAGAATTAAAAAAAAAACTAGTTAAATAATTTAAATAAATTAAAAATATTAATTAAATTAGTTAATTAATATTTTTTAACTAATAGAATTAATTTTAAAAAATTAATAAATATATCAAATAAATTTCACGTCAACTCTCAAATTAAATCTACTAAATTAAATGGGTATTATAATTTTTTAAAAGCATACAAGAAAGAAACGTTAATTTTAATAGAATAAATTATAATCTTTCCTCACTTCGCCATTGCCACGTTTCTGTTCCTCAAAAATGCAGTGCTCACTTTCACTCCCTTCCTTCCCTAGCTGCCTCTGCTCCCCCCATTTTCAGGTCAACCTCGTCTCCAACTCTGTTCCTCTCACTGCAGCTACGCCTTTAAATCTTCGATTCTGCGGTTTAAGGCGCGAGGCATTTGGTCTTACCTCGCTCAAACGCTACGATGCGCACCAGAGAATCCAGCTTTCTCGCTGTAGAGTTCCAAAGAAATTTTCTGCTGCCTGGTTCAACAATGGCAGTCCTCCAAAGTCATTCGATTACGATTTGTTGATTATTGGAGCTGGCGTTGGTGGCCACGGGGCGGCGCTTCATGCCGTTGACAAGGTACTCTGACTGTTTTGCATTAATTGATGCAGTGGCTGCACTGGTGATTGCCAATTGTGGTTTCAGTCGAAGTAGATAGTACATAATAATTAAACATACATTTCGAGTTTAAAGTTTGATTTGGCAATTATTAGATACATTTTTGTTCGTTGCTAATGTTTTGATGGAGTGCAGCTTGGATCACGTAGAACTATTTTAAATTCCTGTGTTAAATGACGTTCTGTGGAGTTGACATACGAGGAATTTTTATGTTGTTTTTGCTGTTAGTATTGGTTGAGCCATTTGTTTGATATAGAAAAATATATACATATATATATAGATATGTATATGTGAGTAACTTGGATGTGTATATAAGGGCGTTTTCCCAGAAACCTGGGTGTTTCCTACAATTTAAGGTCCTGTTTCTTCTATGTGATTTTTTCAGTACGAAATTTTTGTACCTGGATGCTTATTATTACTTTAGTGGATATAGTTAATTTGTGTCTTGTAAGGTAAAAGAAAGTGTGCCTTTTCTGCACTAGGCGTGCATAACAGGCAGTAAGAATATATGTCTTTAGATTTATGTCTCTGAGAGAATTAAAAATAACACAGTGACTGCAGGGCTTGAAAACAGCCATTGTAGAGGGAGATGCGATGGGAGGGACATGTGTAAACAGAGGTTGCGTTCCTTCTAAAGCTCTTTTGGCTGTAAGTGGACGTATGCGGGAACTACAAAATGATCATCACTTAAAGTCCCTGGGCTTGCAGGTGAGAAAATTTTCTAACGGAGTGTGTATTTATATTAAGCTCTGAAGCAATTGCTATGATTATTGCTGTAACAGGTAATACAAGAGGAGTAATACTAAAGATTCCTCATTGTGGTGAGAGATTTGGTCCCTTCGTTGATTTCCTTTTTGGGCTTTTTCTTATTTTAGGTTTCTGCTGCTGGATACGACAGACAAGCTGTTGCTGACCATGCTAGTAATCTTGCTTTGAAAATTCGTGGTAATATGACCGATTCATTAAAAGCGCTTGGAGTAGATATACTCACAGGTTTTGGAACCATTTTGGTAGGTGACATGTTATGATGTGTGGGAGAATGAACTATTTACTTACCATCAAAAGCTTAACTTTAGACTTTTGATCATGAAATTGGAAAGAAATTTGAAACATTTCCTTTTGCCATCTTGATGAATTGATGCAGGGACCTCATAAGGTGAGAGTTGGCTCTTCCAACAACATAGTAACAGCACAAGATATAATAATTGCAACTGGTTCGGTCCCTTACGTTCCTGAGGGCATTGAAGTTGATGGTACAAATCATCTTTTCTCTTCCACCTGAAAGAAACTGATATATTGCTCAATTTATTAGTTCGCTGGCCCTTTATATTTATCACGAGGAGCCCTTCTCAGACACCGTATGCCAAACAAAACTGTGATTTCTGCTTATATTCTTTATAAAAATATTAATGATTAATTACCTGCAGGGAAGACTGTGATTACCAGTGACCACGCACTCAAACTGGAGTTTGTTCCTGACTGGATAGCAATTATAGGAAGCGGTTATATTGGACTTGAATTTAGTGATGTGTATACAGCTCTTGGAAGTGAGGTATTTATGATACTCGATTGTGCCCTCCCCATTAGGTTATCTTCATGGGAAATAATTGCAAATGATTGATGATTGATTCTAGGTGTTATTTTTATGGCAAAAAATTTATTCCACCGTTGAAATGTATGCTTTTTTATAATATCTAATAATACAAGAAATATTGTTTTTCATTTGCGAAATGAAGCCATTGCAGAAGAAATATAGTAAGGAATGACGGGATTCTGCAGGTTACTTTTATCGAAGCTTTAGATCAACTTATGCCAGGACTTGATCCTGATATCAACAAGTTGGCTCAGAGGGTTCTCGTAACCCAGAGGAAAATTGACTATCATACTGGAGTTGTTGCATCCAAGGTAACCATACCTTTAGATGCTTGAATAAATATCTGCTGGATGGCTATTTTGACAAGCTGCATCCCTTTTTCCCCCTCTTTTCCTGCAGATCACTCCTGCTAGGGATGGAAATCTAGTCTTCATTGAACTCATTGATGCAAAAACCAAGGAACCAAAGGATACCTTGGAGGTAACTTGATTCTTGTAGTCTTAACAATACCGCTTGGTTTCAAATTTTCTACTTACAACAGAGGAAAATTCTAGAAATTGTTCAATGCTAAAACTAGACACGCATGTGTGAGCACTGTCACAGTATGAGGGGAAAAACAACCACTTACAAAATTACGTAGGTTCAATCTTTGCAATTACTTTCAGATGCTTTTATAGGACGCTTTCAATGCAGCGTATGATAAACTGAGTGCACGTAACTGAGAGAGGCAAGCAATTCAACTCCCACTGACTGATGCATAGGTTGGTTCTGCTCCTCAACCCCTCTCCCCTCATAGTAAAAATAATAGCAACGACAGCAACACTTTTGATGACGCAATTGGTCTTGCTAAGCTCAAGAGACTTGCGGCTTCCGTTTTCTTACCGGACCTAGTAATATTGTTTGAAGTCCCTTTTTTTTTTTTTTCCGTTTACAGTTCATAAACATCTATAGCACCAGGTCTTGCAAGTGTGAACAGTTTTCAGTCACAAAACACTGACAAATATTATCTTTATACCTTTTTGTCACGTATTCAAATTCATTGACTTGGACTCATCTCAAGTTATTATGTTACATTGCTTCAGGTGGATGCTGCACTAATAGCAACTGGAAGGGCTCCATTCACTAGCGGTCTTGGCTTAGAGAATGTATGTCTATCCAGTGGCTGCCAAGTGTAAATTTTTCCCCAAATGAAGTAATTGTATAATTGACATTTTTTTTTTCCAGATTAATGTTACAACTTATCGTGGTTTTGTTCCTGTGGATGAGCGGATGCGAGTAATTGATACATGTGGCAATCTGGTTTGTTTCAAAGTTCTCTCTTGCACAACCATACGTCGTTGGCTTAGATTTTTTGTTACTGAAATAAAATATGGAATGATAGGTCCCGCATTTGTATTGTATTGGTGATGCAAATGGCAAGTTGATGCTCGCTCATGCTGCCAGTGCACAAGGAATTTCAGGTAAGTGGAAAACTATAAATTACTAATATTGGAGTCTTTTGCTTCCATTTTTACGAATGAAAAATTTCTGACAGTGGTTGAACAAATCACCGGAAGAGATCATGTGCTCAATCACTTGAGTATTCCAGCCGCTTGTTTCACTCATCCTGAAATAAGCATGGTTGGATTGACGGAGGTACCATATATCTGAACCTTCTTGTGTCTTGTGCTTTATTCTCCACTGTATACCATTAACATTTTTTTAAAATTCTTTGATTTCACTCTGCAGTTAACCAATCCCTCTTCACTTCTGCTCTCCCAACCCTTTTTTTCTTTTTATATTCTAGTTATATTTTTAAATATCTCCTATTGGTCGTTCAATCAATGAACTCATGAATTGTGACCAAACATGTAAAATTTTCAGCCTAAAGCAAGGGAGAAAGCTGCAAAAGAGGGTTTTGAAGTGAGTGTCTCCAAAACAAGTTTTAAAGCTAACACGAAAGCCCTAGCAGAAAACGAAGGGGAGGGACTTGCCAAGGTTATATTTCTGCTTCTTTATCCTTCAAAGTTATTCATCCACAGGAGATTGTGAGTGTTGAGTGAATGAGTTCCTTGCATAATAGTTGCTGCGGGTGGTATGGGGAAGTTATTTGGGTTTGACAGCTGGGTCCCTGATTTACTTGTTCAATAACACTTTTATCCTCCCACTGATTGCATTTATTTACTTGGTAGTTGGTTCCCACAGCCTTTACGGGTTACTCTTTACACTGTTTTTCATACAGTTGATATACAGACCTGACACTGGAGAGATACTAGGAGTTCATATTTTCGGGCTGCATGCTGCGGATCTCATCCACGAAGCATCCAATGCAATAGCATCAGGGACACGTATTCAGGTAAAATTCTGTGTGCGCTTTGCGTTTCATTATAAACAACCGCTTGAGTTCAGCTGGCACTAAGTTTTTCTTTTCTCGTCCATGTTCGTCAAAAAATGTACTTTATTAGCAGACAAAGCAGTCCTTTTCTGTCAAGTAAATTTCACATTTTTGTGGTATAATACAGGACATAAAGTTTGCGGTCCATGCACATCCAACTCTGTCTGAGGTGGTTGACGAACTATTTAAATCAGCAAAGGTGAGCTTTCCAAAAGAACACCTTGAGATAATCATATTGAACAAAACCACTGCCGCCCACCGATTATTTTGATCTAGATGGTAAGATAGCCTGCTACGAGATAAGCATCGACATGTTAGTGGTTGTTCACTAAACTAGCAAACAACTTGGTCGTAGTTTTCTGTTTGATTTAAACTTGGGAGAATTACAATGCGGTTCAAAAAAAATTATTAAAAATCTCAATAACATTTAAATAGTCTTCTGAAACTTGTTTTGTAATTTATTTTCCTTCTCTAGAACCTTAATGTAACTCACCCTTTAAACTTCCTGGACAGAATAGTCAAAACGCTAACGAATGCACACAAACGTACAGGTAAACATAGCTACTTTATTTTGTTAGACGCATTAATATGTGCCCTCTTGAATTTCTGAGGCAGGTTAAAGAACAATCTTCCAGCCCGGCATGGGAACCAGTTGCTGTCTAGTCCTATGAGAGACCAGAGTGTAAGTTTTAGACTAAATTAGCTTGTATTATTGTGAGCTGCCAAGATTTTCCAATCATGTAAGTAGGAACTTCGAGGGGAGCCCGCCAACAGTCCAAAAATTGACGAGCGCAAACCATTTCTTGCATTTGCATTTATCGTTGTCAGATCTATTTTACATTCTTTCTTTCTTTTTCTTTTTTCTTTTTTTTTTTTTTTGTTTCTTTAGAATGAATTTTTTAGATGAAATGTGATACGGTGATCCAAAATTTAGATGGTTAAAAATATGTCCAAGTCACTTTCAATTTCTCTTCGATAAGCCACTACTGATTTTATTTCCGTACATTTATAAAAAATAATCGAGCGCACGAACGTTACGGCACACAAGAATTTCATACAAGTGGGAAACCAATTTGCAGCTACAATAGCACAAGAATTCCACATAAACTTATGCATATATTATCCTATATGTGGTCATTCTAATATTCAATCGAACCAGATTCCTCATTCAATTGCTTAACAAAGCTGGTGAAAACCATATTTTACAAACCGTAGGCTGGAATGAAAGCATGAAAATCTTAAATATAGTGTATCGGCTTGGCGTGAAAAGGCATGCTCTAACGATTAACAACAAAACATCTCTAAAAAAATATTTGGATAAAATTAAAACTATAATTTCAGAAGTGGTTGTATTATATATGAAATAACATGTAAAAGGAATTTATCTCGATTTGCTAAAAA